GGCTGGCATGCATAAGGGTAAAAAAGTATTTTCCTGCAAAACTGATGAAAATATGACTGTCTCTTTGTTTTGGAGATTATCTAGAAATATTTACTAAGATTTAGAGTACACATATCCTTTAGCCCAGCAATCCCACTTGTGAGAATCTATTCCACAAAAATAAAAAGCACTAGTACCTACAGATACATATGCAAGGCTGCTTATAATGACAAAAAGCTAAAGACAAAATTAGCCATCCTATGAAGTGATTGAATAAGTGATCATTATGCAGTCATTAAGTAGGATGAGTTGGATTTTAGTCAATAGAATGGAGGGAATTCCGTAATATATTTTAAGTGAAAAATGCAAGATACCTAAAAGTATATATAATATGACTCATTTTTGTAAAATGATTATAAATCTCTATTTAAATATGTGGTATATGTGACCATATGATCAGGGAGAAAGGTACAGAGCAATAGATACCAAGATATTAATGTAAATCATTAATCTAAATTAGCTGGTGGGAGATTGGGGAGATGCAGAGAAGAGGATGGGAAGAGGGAGTAACACAAGAGCAAAAAGAAAAGAAAGAAAGAAACAGAAAAAAAGAAAACACTAAAACATGATTTTTTACAAAAGTGTCTGCAACAAAAATAGCAAGTTGACATGATCATCTTCATGTGCTGTGTGTCTGTGTACGTGCACAGGGGCTGAACACTCAAAGGGTAATGCTGATTATCTCAGGATTCTGGGATTTCAGGTGGTTTTACTTTCTGCCTTATACTTTTCTCCATAGTTCCAATTATAATTACACATGTTGTTTTTATAGTCACAAAAATATCTATTGTCACTGTAAAGAAATGTAGCTCTTTAAAATTTCATCTATGAAAATCCCATTTTCCTTTATATTTTGTGCCCAAATTGTGTATATCCAGAGCTGAAGATAGTAACTAGGACAATTTAGGGACCAGGAATAGAGAAAAGAATGGTGCACATGGCACCTGTTTGGGGAGTAAGCTGGAAAATAGAGATAAGTGCAGTTCAACACATGCTATCTACGAAGCCCATGGCAGTGTGTGCCGCATTTTAGTTCATTTCAGAATTAGCTGGAGAGTTCATCTAAAATACTGTTTCCCAAGCTCTTGCACATCAAGGGAATGGGAATATGCATTTTTAATAATCATCCCAAATGATCATGAAGCAGGATCATGAAGCAAGCCTTGCTCTGTAGTGTCAAGAATAGAATAAACTGAGGATGCAAAACTAAGTTAACATGAGAGCAGGAGGTCAAAAGAGGATTCTGGTGTGTTAATGAGAAGAGCTACATTATCAGGGCTATCAACTGCTTCAGCAGTGGCATAGGAATTAAAACAATGAATACTGCCCCTGTGAAAACAGGAATGGGTCATGTCGCTTTGAGTGTGGCAAAGCTGGGATTTTGAGTTCTAGATTCTCTCTTGACTTTTTTTCTGGGATAAATCCAGCTCAGGAGAAGAGAACCGTTTTGACTGTTCTGAAGGAAGGAAGCAAGGGGAGAAGGAAAATGAGGAAGGAAGATGATCATAAGGGCATTGCATTCTGTTCATGCTTCATTCTGATAAAAATGAAATCCCAGATGTGAAACCATTTTGACAGAAAGCTAGAAGTACTTTTGTGGTGGGAGTATTATATAAATACTATATATGACTTTCTGAAATTTGAAGTTCTGGAAATATACCAAATTAGAAGGTATTTTCTTTCTCTGTCTCATTCCATGGCTGAATGGATGAAGCCCACAGATGAATGAAATAATAAAAATACTAACCCCTAATCTCGAAAGATTCTGAATACATTTTTAAAGAAGAGTCAAGAATTGGATGTGGGATGAGAGAGAATGGAAGAGTTGAGGGTAATTCTAAGATTTTGGACCTGAACAACTGAAAAGATAGAATTACATTAACTGAACTTG